ACGAACAAGGTGAATCAATCAAATGCCACCTGCGGTTGTAAGCGAATCAACTAATTGGGTTTGTTACCAGGCGAACCACTCAGAAGAGCTGACCGTGAGTAACGATTGAAACGATAGGATTGCAGCACAGAATTTGCCATTACCACCAGGCAGAGCACATACATTGTAACCTTCATTATAATAGGTGCAATAGATCGAAGCCAAAAGATCCTTCTAACTAAGGCCAGTGGGGAGGCTCAAACCCCCCTGTACCTAAAATTGTGTACAACGTATCCCATTATTTATATTATATTTTCAGAAAAAAGGCCATTCGTCAGTCATGTGATGCTGAATGTGACCGCGAAGGAATTCCGCTAGTGCGTACACCAAAAATCTGCTACCACGATGAGCTGTTGTAGTCACTTAGTCAAATTTTATTGCACCGAAGATCAAACAATTCAACGTTTGAAAGGGAAAAATTAACAAAAATTAAGCAAGTCCAGCCATGACACTGAAGATTTCCAGACAGATATAGGCGTCTTGCATACAAACAGAGAAAAATCGACACAAATCTGTAGTTCAAAAAATCTCATGTGTTTCAAATGTATTGCATGAAGAAAGATACATCGTTTGCTTTTGTGGTTATACAGGAATATATCTTTACTACCATACACTTTTCCGTTCGCAACGTGCCTCAAAAGTATTCTTTTCCCATTCCATTCTTATGGTTGTTAATATTGTGTAAAGCGCCGAATAATGCACGACTGTTAGTAGGCCCGTGTCCTTTCCAGTCTGGGTATAGCGCACATTTATTCTTCAATAATCGATGTCCCAACAATATACAGTAATGATAACCTTGGCTTGAAGCTCAAAATGCAACTAGTTGGTCATTCAGCAGCTATTGGTTGTTTTCGGTAAACCGCTCCTCGTATCCAAGTGGTGGTCCTCAATTCATCCAGACTAGTTAGTTATATTGTTGTTCTATTTGCAAAGTCAATGGTCCGTGATTGTTTGGATCAGAAAACAATAAGATCCGTTCGCGAAATAAACGAAGTACTTGGTTTGCCTTTCTGCAAAGCCTTTGATGATGTCTCCGTGTTGAATCTACTGGTATGATCAGAATCTAACTTACACAGGTGATCATGGAGTAATTCCCCCCCCCTGCAAATAATGTCACTCCCTGGCAAAAACCTTCGGTTTGATCTAGGATTTACACATTCTTATCCAGTGAAGATCAGGGTATTCTTGATTTACTGCCCTTTCACCTAACGAAGATGACAAAATGAAGCCACTATATTCATCATTTTATGCTAAAACTGGAAATATGGAACATTATTTTGAAACTGGTACTCATTTGCTAACATCACTTTTGTGAAGTAACATTCCGTGTGTTGTATTTTTACATGAATATTGCTTTGTACTTGGTTTCCTCGAGTAACTTAAGTCGATTTCCTCAAAATCCGCTCGCCCATAACATGGTCCACCAGATATCTCGTGTTCATTTACGTCTATGGGTTTTGCTCCCGAAGACCAAATTACTGAAAGAGTAGGAACAAATCAACTAGGACTGTTATGATCTATTATTAAGACGGAATCTACAAAATCTTGCCTAAACTATCTGCTCAATCCGACCATGGCACATTAGCAGACGAGTTTCTGGCTCATGACGTTTCACTCTACTTCGAAACAAGACAGACTTCCTAAAATTATTCGTGTATTGAATCACTGACAACATATATTTGATAATTTAGATGAATTCAATTTTCATATAGCCATCAACTGGAACTCTTTCCCAAAAGGTCAAGCCATGAATAAATGATGTCCATATGAACCGGCCTGATCAGATTTCTACCTCAATGTCAATGGGTAAGATTTCTGAGGACATTTCCCACCAAGAGTAAACTTTCGTGTAAATTCTGCCATCCAAATCCGATCACGCTGAGAAAGTCGATAGCTGAAGTGATTCCCGATATGATTTGATTTTCCTCGCGATTTCAACACTGAACTTCACTAATGAAGATCTAATCCCAGCTCCAAGTGGACCACAGGTTAATGCAGTTTATTTTAGTGAATAGGCTGGAAGAGTGGATCTGATTACGGACCGTTACAAACAGTCTTTCCCTGGAATATAATTTCTTATATACTCATTCAGTGGATTCCTCTGATTTGGAGCAAACCATCAACCATACATGCAACAATTAAAACGGATAAATACTCGGCTATCTTCACAGAACATTCATGTGAAAGTCATGCATGACAATTCGCAGTCTGGAAAGTCACCGATCTTTTATTCCGAGTAAATGGACCACATGAGAGGAGTTCGCGGGGAGCAATATCTGTAGAGTATGTCGAAATATTTTATCCGTTTTATGCTGTTAGTACAAACAGAGAGGAGATATACGTTTGCGACGTGTATGCATTTCGTTGGCTATCATCGACTGCGCATGTAAGCTTGTCGGTCTATATATGATACGGTACATGAGGTGCATAGTGAAGAAATGAGAAAAATGTTTATCGCAAATAATATATGGTTGATGTCAAGGGAAGAAAACACTTCGTGTGAATAATTTTTGTGATCAAATAATGAATTTCTCCAACTCGATCAGCACAGCCACAGCAAATGCTTGCAGTTTTGCAATCCGGTCAGTTTTTCTTATTTAAATCCGCAGAGTGGGGTAAACTCTGTGGACGACCCTTAATCACCAATGCTGCATTTCTTGCCGCAATTTGTTTTGTGCTGCCCATCTGAGTTATTGATTGACAAAACCCATTTCGGAAATTGTCGCGTCAGACAAACAGAAACAAGTATTACTTTGTTTTGTCTGCGTACGTGTAACAGCAACTAAAAATGAACTGGAAGTTAGCAATTGAGGTGGTAAATTAAATACGGCTGGTTCAAATGTACTAAAGCTTCCACACACAAATGAGATCAAACAACGTGGGGAAGATGCTCGTGCTCAATTATTCTAATTCTTGCCAATACATAACAAAAATGACTCAAAAATCATCCAAGGGGAACGACAATCCTGATCTGGCTGTGCACGTGCTAGAGTGCGCATAGGACTGATCACAGTGAAGAACGTCCGGTTGCTCGCACACTCTTTTGGGAAGAAACAGCTGACCATAGGAGTAAAGTGCAAGAACATGTAATTTCCGAGGGCATTGGGGTGGGACTTTCTAATCGGATACTGATGGCTTCGATTCAGTCTGATATGCGGAACTTAACGAGTCTCGATTGCTTACCCCGAACTCCTAAACTGGTGTGAAAAGCAATAATCATCTCTACTATGCGGTTTGAATCCACAGATAATTAATTCGACTGCTGTGTTTTACAGTTCCATAAAATTCGGAAGAGTTAGTTGATATATATTTAGGCCTTTTTAAATAAATATACAAACTCTGAAAAACGCCGCGTTATTCGCTTGCTAATTTATAGGCTTAGTAGGGGAATTCTTTGGGTGATCAGTTTGATCGCACTTCTTTTTACTTCGCTTTATATTCGAGACATCAATGTAAATGAGGATGACTGTCGCTTGCATCATGGGACCTAGAACTGTGACTTCCGGCATTGGGTCACCTGTTGAAAAAACGAAGGGGGTTCTGGACACTAGTCGGTGACCGCGAATAAATAGGGTTGTTTATTTAGATGCGAAATAGTCCATAGAACATTTCAGTGAGTGAAACCCTGGCTTATACGTTTTCCAGATCGGTAATTGTTCCATTCAGTATATAACACTAAAAAATTAGACCATGGCAAAACGAATAGATGAAACCGTTTCAAATCGTGTGGAGATCCTCAAAAGATTATGAGAGCTGTACCATTTCCGGCAAGATTATTTGAAGGTGGTGATTCATTTGAATTCCTATTGCACGCCAGGAAATGAAGCATAATTTCCAGTGCATTCACTCTTTATTCTTTTGAATAGCCGGTAAAAGAGAACGCAGAAATCGCAGAGACAAATATGCTGTGCTCTGTGAAAGATGATACAAAATACATGAAAGTATACAGTCGAAATGAATAAAGAATATATCTGTGCACACACATGTACGCTCGTGTAAGGAGGACACACATACAGACGGGGTATCATTTCTGTTTGTCGACATCCAATATTCTCTTCATTCAAACGGATTCAGACCGAACGTTCCCAGGTGGGGTGAACCTATTAGGGTCAAACTAAAGATCTTGTTGGTTTGTTTGTGCTTTGATTGGAACTGAGGTTTTTGATTTTTGATTACTTATTTATTTGACAGTTTTTCACAGCGTAAAAGGCCAATAACATGGAATTAGCATTCAAAACATACGGATAAATCCACAAAATTTTTGAACAAACTTCTAAGTTTTGTTTGGTGGTGAAGAGTTAAAATATATGGTTACCTTCGAAATTTTTCAAAAATAAATAAATAAGAGAGCATTTATCAAAGTTGTTTCTACGCCCTACAGCCTAAGCGTTTTATTGGACTTCATAGTTAACCCGTCATTTCCACAAAAGTGCGTATAACCGACCTCATATTTATTCCTAAAGAAAGATCTATTAGAGGTGCAATACCAAAGATCAAGATAACTTATACATGACAACATCATGATTACCCGTGTGCTCCACCAACATATGTCTAAGAAGTAACATTTGAGGGCAAACTTTGCACCATTTTTATCTCGTGCATCTCAATCATTGATAAATATGTATCCTGTGTGGGATAAAACAGTGTGAACTACATGCAGCTCCAAATTCACAGAAACGATTTTCCACCAACGTCGTCAACTAATCTAATGATCCTCAATTTGATGCATATCCGAGAACAGAAGAAACAGGAGTTTACACTGAATTAGTTTAGAAACGTGAACAATGGTTATCTTTTACTGAGAAATAGATCTTCGGATCGGCCAATCAAGGAATGCGGAGAATGATTAGTACGACGGACATGGGAATGAAGTGACAACCGATTTTAGCCAATAGAACCACACGTGTTGCAATCGCGTGCACTATAAAAAAGCACGAATACGTCGTGTAAAAGAGAACAAAATGAAATCCACCATTTACTTCGTATTGTTGTTGTGTGTGCTGCACTTACAGCAGACAAGTAAGTGAAATTGCAATTGGTTATGCAACTTTGATAACCCACAGTAATAATCAGAATAGAACTTCCAGATAATATCATTCGTATTCTTCGGTGTCACGCACAACGTGCTGGTTGATTTTAGTAGTGTGGTAAAATTGCGAGTTCGGTAGGTGAAAGCTGGATAGAGATGAAGTTATCAGGTTTAGTTTATTTGTGTAAGGTCACTTTCTCCCGACATACTTGTAATAGGCGTACCAGTACAAGTCCGCGACGAGAGGCAATTTTAACAGATTATCTACACTAAAGCCTTGTTCATTTCCATAAGCTGAGTTGTTATTGAAATTAATTATATCTAGCTCCCTTAGAAAAATAAAACTAAATATTTAGCACAAACAGACTTTGTCAGGCAGACTCAAAATAACGAATGTTTAATATCTCATAGTAAAATACAACAAGCTGAATGCAGTTGTCCAAAAACATCTAGCTTGCCAATTTTCCAAAGAAAAATGGTGTTATGATGTTTGGGAAAGCTTTTGAGAATAAAACTCGCAACAACAATTTAGTAAATAAAAGTCACGCATCCGAACTAACCTGGAACAGATGGAATTTAGTAGATTGTGAAAACCCACGAAGACGATGGGGAAAGGCAATGGTGAACGAAGGGTCAACATCCAACACAAAATTGATCTACCAAAATGGAAAAATGTTTCCCTTAAACAAATATTTTTATACACCGGTTAGGTCGAAACGAAAGCTTACAGTTTTATGATAAGCACGTTGCATTTTGGCCATAATTGCAGCATAGCGAAACTACGTAGTTACACGTCGTCAATAACCAGGGGAAAGTGAGACTGGTTTGTGGCACAACTCTTGTGGTCTGTTAATGAGCGCGAAATCGATATGCCCGAAATTTCGTTTGACTGCTCAATTAAAAACGTAGAACATTGAAGGTCTCCTTTTAAATTTGCATTGGTCCTTGAGATTGTTTCCTGATCACTAAAAAAACAGACCAGTCGTTGGGCAAGAATATAATCGCAAATCTCTTGCAAACCGTAGCATGAAGTGTAATCTTGAGAAACAAAAACAACGAGGATACATAACAGTGAATATTTTCTCGCTTTTTAAATGCCTCCAAAAGTATTTCACCAAAACGTTAAACATATTTCATTCCGACACAGATCAGTATTTTCTGTTGCTAGGATGTAGGAGTATTCGGCGGGTAATATTTCGAAGACGTTCCCTAGCTGGATGTTTTTTGTGAGCCTTCAAAGGTAACGGTATCCTCAATGCAAATGAGCAATATGCCCATATATAAAATAAAGCGCTACTTGGATTGAGTCATCTGGTAAAATCAATAAGAGAAATGTTGATTTTCTGGCAAGAAACTCAATTATGTATATTATTGGATAATTGCTCGACATCTGCAAAGTTCACTCATGGACGTTACACGATATATGAAATGAAAGTGATTATTGGGAAGCATAAAAACCGCGTAGAAAAAAGCAAAACGAAACATGAAAATACATGCCAAATTTCAGAAAATGTCGCTAAATTGACGACAGTGGAACCGCTAGCAAACTGCTATGGAAAAATCAATAAAATTCTAAAAAGAAACTAAAGAGAACACAAGAAAACACAACAAAAAAAAGGGTAAGAATCACAAAAAAAGAGAAAAAAGAAAAACCAGGAAAACAAAATGGAAATACATAAAGAAGACAGGGAGAAGCAGAAGAAAAAATAAAAAAAATTGAAATTAAATGAAAAAGAAAAGAAAAAACGCTTATAGAGACAGAGATATACAAAAAAAGAAAGAACAGAGCAAAGCATAGTGAGTAGTTCGATTTCCCTAACTGGTCACATTTGTGCAAAAATGTTTCCACACTTGAATTGGAGCAGTTGATAAGAGACAACCGATTCCATGTATTTTTATTATATATATATTTATATATGTATATATACACTGCACTCGAATACGACGGTTATCATTGTATCATTGTGTTCTTGTTCTCATTTGATTGGATACATCAATCACTGTATATGGTCCCATTTTGATCGGTCGAATTGCAGCGCCTAAGGAAGAGGAACAAGGTGAGCTTTGATTGACCATATTGTAGTCTTGTATTCTTTTAGTCTTGTAATATTGTAGTCTTGTTCATTTGTTCAGCATGATTCATTTTGCGGACAGTGTGCGACAATAATGATCATGCTGTGTTCTTGTCCTAATTTGATTCGTCTCTTTTTGCTAAAACAATCAGTTCGCATTTGACTAATTCATACTGCCTTGAACGAACGCTTTCCCAATTGGTCCCTTTATCGACAATTATATGCTAACGCATACGAACACCATCCTGTTGGACATTCTAATTGAAAATGATGGACGAATTCTGGACACTGGAAATCATACACTAATATATGTCCCATTCAGATAGATCTGAGCACTCGAGTGATTTGATTGTACAAACAAAAATCCAAAGTATCTTATATTGCGCACTATTCGAACTGAGTTGTGAAACTCGGTTTCCTGAGCAATACCACATTATCTCCTCCATTCATTCAATAATTAATTCTCTACTTCATTCATTCATTCATTCATTCATTCATTCATTCATTCATTCATTCATTCATTCATGCATTCTCTCCTTCATTCAATAATTCACACATTCATCCATCCATTCATTCATCCATTCAAGTGTTGCCCCTCAATTGATTCAGTGTAGTGGATGGAAGTTCAACTGATCAACAAATATCATATGAGAACTCTGTACACGTGTTTGATCTCACTAGTTCGACATTGTGAGAATTGCACATTCACCAAGTTCTGACCTCCATCCGAACACGAACTGGACGATTGTCAGTCTGATCGGCCTCTTCCACGTGGACGACACATGAGTGAATAAGAACTCATAATGATCCATGTGATTCTCCAGTCCAAATTCACAATGGACAAATATGGAGTGTTCATTGCTCACAACAGTCCACATGAAACCAATTTGTGGTCGTTTGATTTGAATACACATCTAGAAACAAGCTGCACAATATGACAAATCAGAGAGATTCACACCTGTTTCGCATCGGGAAACATACACAATATCACACTAAGAAACAATCAAACAAAGCATACTGAGTTGTTCGATTTCCCTAACTGGTCACATTTGTGCAAAAATGTTTCCACACTTGAATTGGAGCAGTTGATAAGAGACAACCGATTCCATGTATTTTTATTACATATATATTTATATATGTATATATACACTGCACTCGAATACGACGGTTATCATTGTATCATTGTGTTCTTGTTCTCATTTGATTGGATACGTCAACCACTGTATATGGTCCCATTTTGATCGATCGAATTGCAGCGCCTAAGGAAGAGGAACAAGGTGAGCTTCGATTGACCATATTGTAGTCTTGTATTCTTTTAGTCTTGTAATATTGTAGTCTTGTTCATTTGTTCAGCATGATTCATTTTGCGGACAGTGTGCGACAATAATGATCATGCTGTGTTCTTGTCCTAATTTGATTCGTCTCTTTTTGCTAAAACAATCAGTTCGCATTTGACTTATTCATACTGCCTTGAACGAACGCTTTCCCAATTGGTCCCTTTATCGACAATTATATGCTAACGCATACGAACACCATCCGGTTGGACATTCTAATTGAAAATGACGGACGAATTCTGGACACTGGAAATCATTCACTAATATATGTCCCATTCAGATAGATCTGAGCACTCGAGTGATTTGATTGTACAAACAAAAATTCAAAGTATCTTATATTGCGCACTATTCGAACTGAGTTGTGAAACTCGGTTTCCTGAGCAATACCACATTATCTCTTCCATTCATTCAATAATTAGTTCTCTACTTCATTCATTCCTTCATTCATTCCTTCATTCATTCATTCATTCATTCATTCATTCATTCATTCATTCATTCATTCATTCATTCATTCATTCATTCATGCATTCTCTCCTTCATTCAATAATTCACACATTCATCCATCCATTCATTCATCCATTCAAGTGTTGCCCCTCAATTGATTCAGTGTAGGAGATGGAAGTTCAACTGATCAACAAATATCATATGAGAACTCTGTACACGTGTTTGATCTCACTAGTTCGACATTGTGAGAATTGCACATTCACCAAGTGCTGACCTCCATCCGAACACGAACTGGACGATTGTCAGTCTGATCGGCCTCTTCCACGTGGACGACACATGAGTGAATAAGAACTCATAATGATCCATGTGATTCTCCAGTCCAAATTCACAATGGACAAATATGGAGTGTTCATTGCTCACAACAGTCCACATGAAACCAATTTTTTGGTCATTTGATTTGAATACACATCTAGAAACAAGCTGCACAATATGACAAATCAGAGAGATTCACACCTGTTTCGCATCGGGAAACATACACAATATCACACTAAGAAACAATCAAACAAAGCATACTGAGTTGTTCGATTTCCCTAACTGGTCACATTTGTGCAAAAATGTTTCCACACTTGAATTGGAGCAGTTGAAAAGAGACAACCGATTCCATGTATTTTTAATATATATATATTTATATATGTATATATACACTGCACTCGAATACGACGGTTATCATTGTATCATTGTGTTCTTGTTCTCATCTGATTGGATACGTCAACCACTGTATATCGTCCCATTTTGATCGGTCGAATTGCAGCGCCTAAGGAAGAGGAACAAGGTGAGCTTTGATTGACCATATTGTAGTCTTGTATTCTTTTAGTCTTGTAATATTGTAGTCTTGTTCATTTGTTCAGCATGATTCATTTTGCGGACAGTGTGCGACAATAATGATCATGCTGTGTTCTTGTCCTAATTTGACTCGTCTCTTTTTGCTAAAACAATCAGTTCGCATTTGACTAATTCATACTGCCTTGAACGAACGCTTTCCCAATTGGTCCCTTTATCGACAATTATATGCTAACGCATACGAACACCATCCGGTTGGACATTCTAATTGAAAATGATGGACGAATTCTGGACACTGGAAATCATACACTAATATATGTCCCATTCAGATAGATCTGAGCACTCGAGTGATTTGATTGTACAAACAAAAATCCAAAGTATCTTATATTGCGCACTATTCGAACTGAGTTGTGAAACTCGGTTTCCTGAGCAATACCACATTATCTCCTCCATTCATTTAATAAATAATTTTCTAATACATTAATTCTTTCATTCATTCATTCATTAATTCATTCATTCATTCATTCATTCTTTCATTCATTCATTCATTCTCTCCTTCATTCAATAATTCACACATTCATCCATCCATTCATTCATCCATTCAAGTTTTGCCCCTCAATCGATTCAGTGTAGGAGATGGAAGTTCAACTGATCAACAAATATCATATGAGAACTCTGTACACGTGTTTGATCTCACTAGTTCGACATTGTGAGAATTGCACATTCACCAAGTGCTGACCTCCATCCGAACACGAACTGGACGATTGTCAGTCTGATCGGCCTCTTCCACGTGGACGACACATGAGTGAATAAGAACTCATAATGATCCATGTGATTCTCCAGTCCAAATTCACAATGGACAAATATGGAGTGTTCATTGCTCACAACAGTCCACTTGAAACCAATTTGTGGTCATTTGATTTGAATACACATCTAGAAACAAGCTGCACAATATGACAAATCAGAGAGATTCACACCTGTTTCGCATCGGGAAACATACACAATATCACACTAAGAAACAATCAAACAAAGCATACTGAGTTGTTCGATTTCCCTAACTGGTCACATTTGTGCAAAAATGTTTCCACACTTGAATTGGAGCAGTTGATAAGAGACAACCGATTCCATGTATTTTTATTACATATATATTTATATATGTATATATACACTGCACTCGAATACGACGGTTATCATTGTATCATTGTGTTCTTGTTCTCATTTGATTGGATACGTCAACCACTGTATATCGTCCCATTTTGATCGGTCGAATTGCAGCGCCTAAAGAAGAGGAACAAGGTGAGCTTTGATTGACCATATTGTAGTCTTGTATTTTTTTAGTCTTGTAATATTGTAGTCTTGTTCATTTGTTCAGCATGATTCATTTTGCGGACAGTGTGCGACAATAATGATCATGCTGTGTTCTTGTCCTAATTTGATTCGTCTCTTTTTGCTAAAACAATCAGTTCGCATTTGACTAATTCATAGTGCCTTGAACGAACGCTTTCCCAATTGGTCCCTTTATCGACAATTATATGCTAACGCATATGAACACCATCCTGTTGGACATTCTAATTGAAAATGACGGACGAATTCTGGACACTAGAAATCATACACTAATATATGTCCCATTCAGATAGATCTGAGCATTCGAGTGATTTGATTGTACAAACACAAATACAAAGTATCTTATATTGCGCACTATTCGAACTGAGTTGTGAAACTCGGTTTCCTGAGCAATACCACATTATCTCCTCCATTCATTCAATAATTAATTCTCTACTTCATTCATTCATTCATTCATTCATTCATTCATTCATTCATTCATGCATTCTCTCCTTCATTCAATAATTCACACATTCATCCATCCATTCATTCATCCATTCAAGTTTTGCCCCTCAATTGATTCAGTGTAGGAGATGGAAGTTCAACTGATCAACAAATGTCATATGAGAACTCTGTACACGTGTTTGATCTCACTTGTTCGAAATTGTAAGAATTGCACATTCACCAAGTGCTGACCTCCATCCGAACACGAACTGGACGATTGTCAGTCTGATCGGCCTCTTCCACGTGGACGACACATGAGTGAATAAGAACTCATAATGATCCATGTGATTCTCCAGTCCAAATTCACAATGGACAAATATGGAATGTTCATTGCTCACAACAGTCCACATGAAACCCATTTGTGATCATTTGATTTGAATACACATCTAGAAACAAGCTGCACAATATGACAAATCAGAGAGATTCACACCTGTTTCGCATCGGGAAACATACACAATATCACACTAAGAAACAATCAAACAAAGCATACTGAGTTGTTCGATTTCCCTAACTGGTCACATTTGTGCAAAAATGTTTCCACACTTGAATTGGAGCAGTTGATAAGAGACAACCGATTCCATGTATTTTTATTACATATATATTTATATATGTATATATACACTGCACTCGAATACGACGGTTATCATTGTATCATTGTGTTCTTGTTCTCATTTGATTGGATACATCAATCACTGTATATGGTCCCATTTTGATCGGTCGAATTGCAGCCCCTAAGGAAGAGGAAAAAGGAAAGCTTTGATTGACCATATTATAATCTTGTATTTTTTTAGTCTTGTAATATTGTAGTCTTGTTCATTTGTTCAGCATGATTCATTTTGCGGACAGTGTGCGACAATAATGATCATGCTGTGTTCTTGTCCTAATTTGACTCGTCTCTTTTTGCTAAAACAATCAGTTCGCATTTGACTAATTCATACTGCCTTGAACGAACGCTTTCCCAATTGGTCCCTTTATCGACAATTATATGCCAACGCATATGAACACCATCAGGTTGGACATTCTAATTGAAAATGACGGACGAATTCTGGACACTGGAAATCATACACTAATATATGTCCCATTCAGATAGATCTGAGCACTCGAGTGATTTGATTGTACAAACAAAAATCCAAAGTAACTTCACGCTTTTTATAACCATGCTGGGTGTACTCGGAAAGCTTTTCTTTTCCTTCGCAAAATCTGAGCTCCACAGTACATCCCCTCATGTCTAACATTCAGTGGTTTCCATAAAGTAGAGGGGTACAGTTGGCAGCGTTAAACAATTTTTAGGAAGCTTTACTGGTTTTTATGCAAGAAAGTGGGTGGAGTAGCATATTTATACCTGTGCTGAGTTGGGAGGACTTTATTAGCAACAATGAAACGTCGTTTTATCCTGACATACGCGGGAATGAATGGAAATAAACAAAAATACCGAAGTAGAGCAAAAGTTTATAAGTTATGAAATAAAAGGCAGAAGCCACAGTTACGTTTCGCATAGTTACTGCGACACGAAAAGGTCTCCATTAGTGAATTATTCCAAGACAATTTAGCGGGAAAGCAAGGACAGCGATAAAGTTCTTTAGCCTTGAGGCACAAACTGAAAATAAATAAAATAGACGATTATCGAATAGGAAAATATGCAATCAAAAATTGCATAAAAATCACAGACTGCAACTGAAGTTGATGAGGCATTTTAAAGCCAGGATTCAATAAAAGAATTGAATAATTTCGAGAAAAGAATATTCTGATCAACGATGCAAATATGACACGGGAACATTAGGGATCTCAAAAAATTTGAATACAACTAGACAGCAGATACATAAGAGAAGGCCAAAGTGAAAAAAACCGGATTCCGCTGGGTCAGTTGCATATAAAAAAGTAAAACCAGGATAAAAATATTTTAAATTCTGTTTATAAAGTAGGAAATAACTAAATGTCTACTGGCACAGTTGAATTGTGAAATCATTTGTGCACAAATGCAACCAGTTAGGGAAATGGAACATTTCACATTGTTCTGTTAGTTTGTTCCGTTGCGAAACAAGTGTGAATTTTGCGCTTCATCGTATTGTGTAGCTTGTTTGGAAATATGTTCAAATGAAATCATTGCAAATTGGTCTCATAGGGAGTGATGTGAGCAATCAGCAGTCTAAAATTGGCCATTGTGAATTGGTACTGGAAAATCACATGGACCATTCTCACTTCTTATTCATTCGTCTATATGGTTCACGTGGATAAGGAGCCGATCAGACTGATGATCGTTCAATTCATGTTCAGATGCAAGTTAGCAGTCGGTCAATATGCATTTCTCCTTATTCCGAACAAGTGAGCGAGATGAAACACGTGTACACACTGCTCATATACTGTTCATTGGTCAGTTGATTGTTCATCTTCTATATGTTGTATAATGTGATTGTCAAAATGTATTTGAATTTTGTTCTGATGATCGAATCATTCGAGTGCTTATATGTATCTAATGGGAACATATGGGAGGCTAGTGTTTAGTGCCCACAATTTGTTTGTCATTTCCAATTCGAATGTCCAACCGAATCGTGTTTATCTCCGTTAGGAAACGAGTGTAGATAAAGAAACCAATGGGGAAATCGTTCGTCTACTGCACACATTGAAGTAGTCAAATGTGAACTGCTTGTTTTTGCGCCAAACAGACGAATCAAATTGGGACGAGAACACAGCAGCATGATCGTTATTGTTGCACACTGTCCGTCAAGTGAATCATGTGGATTAAATGAACAAGACCAATTTGCAACATGATCAGTCACAACTCACCTGCTTTCTCTTTGTCTTGTTATGCAATCGAGAATGATGAGAAACGATCAATAAACAATGATTGACGTATAGAATCAAATGAGAACATTCATAAAATATTAATATTAGTATTTGAGTAGAGTGAGAGTATATAATAAGATGACAGTGAATCGGTTCTCTCTTGTATATTGGCACAGTTGAATTGTGAAATCATTTGTGCACAAATGCGACCAGTTAGGGAAATTTAACATTTCACATCACTTTACAGGCTAACTCACGTTTCTTTTTCCAAGCCATGGTGAGTAATTCAGAAGAGACCTGTTTCTGCAGGACTGATAGTTCTATGAAATCATTCTGGTCGTAAGTGAACTGTACCTTTAAAACGGTTTTATCCTATATGACAAAACAACTGGATAGCATGACCACAATCCTTATTGTTCGTTCTTTTTTGACTGGACCTAGAAATTACTGATGCTTTAGAAACAAGAAATCGAAATTTTCGAAATCACATGGGCTCTTCTGTAGTATTCAGCAACGAAGATTGCAGATCTGGAGGACTTTAAAAGGCTTTGGTAGTGCCTTATATCCGAGAAAAAATGTGGACCTTTACTGAAAAATGCACTTTGGCCGTTTCCAAACTCTTTCTTGACCAGGAAAGCCCGGTAAACCCAAGTGCACTCAATTCAAAGGACCAACATTATAAGGTAGTCTTTCCACTTTACTGTTTTGTTCACGCATTATTTTATTGATTCTTATCTAACTATTGTTTGCGTTTTTGAATATAATCATAAATTCTCGTTTGAATGCCTTCCAGTATATGAGAATAGCAAACAGTTTTGCATAGAACGGTTATTACGTCTTACGAAGAGTTTCAGAAGTAACATAGAATAAAATTTTTAATTTAAACGACATGTCACAGATAAAAGCTAAATGTATACACACTGTTTATGCAGTGTGCAAAATTTCTGGTGTTCTTCATTCCTAATTTTACGGAATCACTCAGATTCGTGATTGTTGAGATTTAAAAGTCTGTTCAGTGATTCCGTGTCTAATTCATGCTGGTCAAAATACGATTGGTAGTATTGGAATAAACAGTCAAAAGTGAGAAATCAGGTCACCACCATGGATAAGAGGAAAAAAACCGTTAGAGATTTTCCACCATCGAACGATCAAAAACACGGCTGCTTATGAATTTTGACCAACGCGGTTATCTTCGAATTGAACGATTAGGTTTACCAGGAAGCCCACACCGTCGCCGCAGTCGATGGTGATTTCGCTATCTCATTGCATTTGATCACGAACTGCATCGGACATGGGGGACAAATGACACGTCACATGGAAATTTTACTTGATGAGCAATAAAGTAATTAGCAGTTTCGCCGATGGTTGTACCAGGTACCGCTTTTGTCGTACTTGTCTACCAATCTCTAGTTTTATTCTGTATTTCCTCTTCAGTTCCATTGTTCTACTGGAACAACGGATCACTTTTAAAATATTCATCTAAAAACAACAGGATGAATGGTGCGGAAAGAGAAATGACATACCGCGTGCTTTTGTACTGATTATTTCAGAAAAGTTAGATGGAATTCCAACACATCATTGGAAATATCGAATTGACTGTAAGGGTGAGTTACGCTTTTTTATCTTCTGAATTATTACATCTCCAGATTTTGATGCTGAACTACTTCCCCCGGGTTATCCTTTGTAACCGATTTTCTTATTCAACTTACGACGGAGATAATTTGTCACGAAAAAGCCCAAGGCATTACTGCTTGCATTTGGGGCAATACATTTTAGAATCTAGCGCTAATGAATTATCAGCCAAATAGAATGATGTTGCTTATCATGTATTCTAGTCCCAAATTATTGAAAAAGTCTATCATATCTGGTAGAGTTTTATTGCTCAAGAACACAGCGTGGTCGAAATAGTTAGTAGGTTGTCGACGTTTCGGTCACCACTGGTAACCTTTTTCAAGACTGGTTTTTTAACCGAATGAAACTGGAATAATAGCTTAGAGCAATTGTTCTTGAAAAAGATTACCCGTGGTGAACAACGATTAAGACTACGCTGTGTTATTGAGCAATAAAATGCTACCATCGCTTTTCACATGGAGCATCGATTTTTCGATACACTCCGAACCGATCTCGGTTCTGACACATTAATTTATTATATCTGTTTAGACGAAATCTCATCTCTATCCATCCATCTGTGACTTCTTCCCAGCATTATTGTACTACAGAAACCTAATTACATTGGTTGCATACTTAGTTTATTGGTACGCCTTGATGGCTATTTTTCGGGACCTCTCGCAAACACAAGATTTCCTGCCGGGTCATCCAAATTGTTACCAAATAACTGGCATATTCGAAGCTGGTGTGCTTCCGCCCGTTCCCCTCCCCACTGAAGGTAATGGCCTCTAGTCTAACCCTTTCGGAACTGTGCTTGAGTGATGATGTCATAACTAATGAGCAAGCTGTGTTTACCGAAACAGACATCATTAGTCCATATGCCAGTCCTCAGAAGATTGACTTTCATGAACAAATTGGTATCTCCCTCAACTCCGCCAATTTTTCTGAATGCATATTCATCCACTCTCGCCACATTATTCCGATTGATTCATCTAGACCGAGAGTCATTCAAATATCCAGAGATGAACCTGGTAAATGTCTCACAGTAAGGTTAAACACCGATCTCCATCGATCTCATTTTCTCTAATGTGCGCGAGAGTTGTGCGGCCTGGTCTTTCAGATGTGAGAGCATGGACATTTTTGTGTTATGTCTTCATTTGGATCCTTCATTGTTCTCCGCTGCCTTTTACCAAGCTTATTAGTTTAGTTTTTCGTCATATTTTCCGTATTACCAAAGCAGGATTTCAGTCTCACTTCAAGTTACTTTTTATTCCTGGGGAAATCTCCAAATGCTATATTGTAACTGCTCCACAAGTTTTGTGGTTTTCACTTTATTTCCTGTAAACAACCCGGTAGTTTGATCTGAAGTTGCGTATGATTTACTTGAAAGGTATAACGGCCAAAATCCAAATTAAAATGGTTAGAACATTATAACTTTGTGAATTCCCTTGTTTCAAGCGGAATTATAAATGGTTCACTAAATGTGGGCCACATCCAGCAGTGTTACATATCGCAAGCCTACTCCAAAATCGGCCAGTCACATACACTTTCTGCACCTCCTCCCTTTATATCGGTCGTGTTATCCGGTGCTTCAGCATTACTCTTGCCGAAACTTTCACTGTGAGCAATAAACTGAGCGCATTTCGGACTGGTTTAAATTCTGTATCCTAAACTTTGGCGAAACACATTCCCCTTCGCGCATCACCAGATGGCATGGCATCAGGGTGTGACAATAACGACATCATGGTGGCACGAAACTGACTGATGAATGTAATGAAACTCGTACTCAGAAATTCTTGTACTTTCCGGAGAGTTTTGAGTCTCTATTCTGGCTACTGATAACGCTGAAAGTAGTTGCTTCCTGAGATTTCCCTCCTGTCAGTTGGTCTCCTGGAAGTGATGATCACTGACTTCGGTATTCACGAATAATTACTTGACAATCACAACTTTCAACCCAGATGTTATTATATGAAGCTGCTAACACATTATGAAAATCAAGATGGTGACTTACCCACTGATATGTGCTTGTTTTTTGTGAATCATATGAACATGCCGGTCAATTTGGCATCGATCCACCTAGTCATCGCGTGTCTACATGTGCCTTCCACTGAAACTGCATGTAGCGTGTGCTACGTAACCACCTGTTACCCAATTTCGGCCACAGCTGAGTATCTGACTCTAAGCCTGTATTAAGAACGGTTATTGGAATTAACACAATCTCTGACAGTATAAGGGCATTTCTGACAACGTTGTTTTCAGATATCATCGTCTATTTCGACCAACAAGTCACAACGGATTTGATGGGAGATGCGGTATCTGACCCGGTAACTCCAATGCAAAGCCTCACACCCACTCAAGGCTTCTATTTGGAATGTTTCAACGTACCCACGTTTAAACTTGCTTCGTATTTCGTATTTGCATTTGGCTCACAGTTACTAGCAAGTAGTGTGTGGGGTTGATAACTCTCAACATTACCATAGAATTGACTGTCTGATTTGAAAACAGGTAAATGAGATTGCTGATGATTTTGTTCAGTTGAAACCGAGAGGTTAGAAATCATTTATCTTTGAGTGAGCTGTAGTCGCGGTCACTGTTGTGTCAACTTTTCGATATGTTGATCTTGGCAACACGTAAGCTGCACCGGATAATGCCACCCATGATATCGGCCAGTTCATTTATCACATTTCCATATATCCCGTCAAATGTCGTGAACAGACTCCGCTGTTGGCAACAGGTGATCTCAATATACCCGACTTCTCTCTTTTACTAGATGGCTGGTTCTGTAAACATCGAATGAAGTTTCGAATGAATTTTGGTATGTAATAATTATCCCAAATGGATTGTGTTGGCGGCTGAGTTTTGTTCCTTCTAGCTGAGTATCATTTCATTATTTACTTATACACGTATAACCCGAAGTTTAATTAGTGACTAGTCAATTCACAATCATTCTTTCACCACCAGCTGTCCACTCTCCAACGAAGCCCTATACACTTGTTTGTTGTAAGCCAGGAATAGTTAGTAATGCATATCCAGAGAACTCCGAAACACAGTGCTTTGCTTCACTCGCTGCACTTCTCTAGCCCTTTGGATACCACCGAGGGTTTTTAAAGCCCTAATTCACGCTCTTCCGAATGGGCACAGTGAAAGAACAATGGAACTTTACCCCGATTCCTTTTGTGCAATTGCCTTTCACATAGCCCTAGGTCCAACATTAGTCTCCCATTTTACAGAACTGACGACCCAGTATTCTCACCTCTCCAATTTTCACGTTCAAACTAAAAGCCGTCATGTACTCCCCCGGAATTTAAAAAAGCACCACTTTTTCTTCTGAACTTTATTTGAAAGACTGACTTGTAAACTCTTCTGTAAAACGCGGTACATCGCCTTCATGTGACTCACTCCAGTAAAAACCATTCAGCTATCCGTGTTTCCAGTACACCAAATCACATCCTTATTTTTTTGATAAAGAGGTCTCCCGGGAGCAGTGTACCGTCGGAGACAATCGGTATTCCAACAGTAGCACCATCTACTCCATCTGTTCAAGCTAAGATGATTTTATCAATGAATAAGTTCGAAAATGCATCCTGCATTGCATGAAGCTTGTGACCAGTTCCAACTGCGCCACTCGGATTGGCTTTAACCGTCTCATATTGGTGGCAAAAAGCTACTCAACCATTTATAAGAAGAAACTTGGACTAAGGAAATGACCAGGACGTCCACAGTTATCCCGTGCGGAAGACAAAGCTATGAAACTAGACAGATTATTGAATTTGAAGGGAAAAGGAATGGGAGGTCAAGATTGACAAAATTCACTGATGTTGATTTGTAGGAATCCAAACTGACTTTTTTGTTATGAGTAACAAAATTCCACATGGGTACATGGAATTTGCCAAAAAGGTGACTTCACGTTAATTTCTAGGGTAAATAAAGAAAGTGGTTTTACTGTAAGTGCTAATGAAGTCTCGTTTAGACATAGCAAACATATTTGAACGAATCTTTACTACTAAGTGCAAAGTTATCGCAGAACGTTGAAAAGTGCACGATGTTTACAGAACCAGCCATCTAGTAAAAGAGAGAAGTCGGGTATATTGAGATCACCTGTTGCCAACAGCGGAGTCTGTTCACGACATTTGACGGGATATATGGAAATGTGATAAATGAACTGGCCGATATCATGGGTGGCATTATCCGGTGCAGCTTACGTGTTGCCAAGATCAACATATCGAAAAGTTGACACAACAGTGACCGCGACTACAGCTCACTCAAAGATAAATGATTTCTAACCTCTCGGTTTCAACTGAACAAAATCATCAGCAATCTCATTTACCTGTTTTCAAATCAGACAGTCAATTCTATGGTAATGTTGAGAGTTATCAACCCCACACACTACTTGCTAGTAACTGTGAGCCAAATGCAAATACGAAATACGAAGCAAGTTTAAACGTGGGTACGTTGAAACATTCCAAATAGAAGCCTTGAGTGGGTGTGAGGCTTTGCATTGGAGTTACCGGGTCAGATACCGCATCTCCCATCAAATCCGTTGTGACTTGTTGGTCGAAATAGACGATGATATCTGAAAACAACGTTGTCAGAAATGCCCTTATACTGTCAGAGATTGTGTTAATTCCAATAACCGTTCTTAATACAGGCTTAGAGTCAGATACTCAGCTGTGGCCGAAATTGGGTAACAGGTGGTTACGTAGCACACGCTACATGCAGTTTCAGTGGAAGGCACATGTAGACACGCGATGACTAGGTGGATCGATGCCAAATTGACCGGCATGTTCATATGATTCACAAAAAACAAGCACATATCAGTGGGTAAGTCACCATCTTGATTTTCATAATGTGTTAGCAGCTTCATATAATAACATCTGGGTTGAAAGTTGTGATTGTCAAGTAATTATTCGTGAATACCGAAGTCAGTGATCATCACTTCCAGGAGACCAACTGACAGGAGGGAAATCTCAGGAAGCAACTACTTTCAGCGTTATCAGTAGCCAGAATAGAGACTCAAAACTCTCCGGAAAGTACAAGAATTTCTGAGTACGAGTTTCATTACATTCATCAGTCAGTTTCGTGCCACCATGATGTCGTTATTGTCACACCCTGATGCCATGCCATCTGGTGATGCGCGAAGGGGAATGTGTTTCGCCAAAGTTTAGGATACAGAATTTAAACCAGTCCGAAATGCGCTCAGTTTATTGCTCACAGTGAAAGTTTCGGCAAGAGTAATGCTGAAGCACCGGATAACACGACCGATATAAAGGGAGGAGGTGCAGAAAGTGTATGTGACTGGCCGATTTTGGAGTAGGCTTGCGATATGTAACACTGCTGGATGTGGCCCACATTTAGTGAACCATTTATAATTCCGCTTGAAACAAGGGAATTCACAAAGTTATAATGTTCTAACCATTTTAATTTGGATTTTGGCCGTTATACCTTTCAAGTAAATCATACGCAACTTCAGATCAAACTACCGGGTTGTTTACAGGAAATAAAGTGAAAACCACAAAACTTGTGGAGCAGTTACAATATAGCATTTGGAGATTTCCCCAGGAATAAAAAGTAACTTGAAGTGAGACTGAAATCCTGCTTTGGTAATACGGAAAATATGACGAAAAACTAAACTAATAAGCTTGGTAAAAGGCAGCGGAGAACAATGAAGGATCCAAATGAAGACATAACACAAAAATGTCCATGCTCTCACATCTGAAAGACCAGGCCGCACAACTCTCGCGCACATTAGAGAAAATGAGATCGATGGAGATCGGTGTTTAACCTTACTGTGAGACATTTACCAGGTTCATCTCTGGATATTTGAATGACTCTCGGTCTAGATGAATCAATCGGAATAATGTGGCGAGAGTGGATGAATATGCATTCAGAAAAATTGGCGGAGTTGAGGGAGATACCAATTTGTTCATGAAAGTCAATCTTCTGAGGACTGGCATATGGACTAATGATGTCTGTTTCGGTAAACACAGCTTGCTCATTAGTTATGACATCATCACTCAAGCACAGTTCCGAAAGGGTTAGACTAGAGGCCATTACCTTCAGTGGGGAGGGGAACGGGCGGAAGCACACCAGCTTCGAATATGCCAGTTATTTGGTAACAATTTGGATGACCCGGCAGGAAATCTTGTGTTTGCGAGAGGTCCCGAAAAATAGCCATCAAGGCGTACCAATAAACTAAGTATGCAACCAATGTAATTAGGTTTCTGTAGTACAATAATGCTGGGAAGAAGTCACAGATGGATGGATAGAGATGAGATTTCGTCTAAACAGATATAATAAATTAATGTGTCAGAACCGAGATCGGTTCGGAGTGTATCGAAAAATCGATGCTCCATGTGAAAAGCGATGGTAGCATTTTATTGCTCAATAACACAGCGTAGTCTTAATCGTTGTTCACCACGGGTAATCTTTTTCAAGAACAATTGCTCTAAGCTATTATTCCAGTTTCATTCGGTTAAAAAACCAGTCTTGAAAAAGGTTACCAGTGGTGACCGAAACGTCGACAACCTACTAACTATTTCGACCACGCTGTGTTCTTGAGCAATAAAACTCTACCAGATATGATAGACTTTTTCAATAATTTGGGACTAGAATACATGATAAGCAACATCATTCTATTTGGCTGATAATTCATTAGCGCTAGATTCTAAAATGTATTGCCCCAAATGCAAGCAGTAATGCCTTGGGCTTTTTCGTGACAAATTATCTCCGTCGTAAGTTGAATAAGAAAATCGGTTACAAAGGATAACCCGGGGGAAGTAGTTCAGCATCAAAATCTGGAGATGTAATAATTCAGAAGATAAAAAAGCGTAACTCACCCTTACAGTCAATTCGATATTTCCAATGATGTGTTGGAATTCCATCTAACTTTTCTGAAATAATCAGTACAAAAGCACGCGGTATGTCATTTCTCTTTCCGCACCATTCATCCTGTTGTTTTTAGATGAATATTTTAAAAGTGATCCGTTGTTCCAGTAGAACAATGGAACTGAAGAGGAAATACAGAATAAAACTAGAGATTGGTAGACAAGTACGACAAAAGCGGTACCTGGTACAACCATCGGCGAAACTGCTAATTACTTTATTGCTCATCAAGTAAAATTTCCATGTGACGTGTCATTTGTCCCCCATGTCCGATGCAGTTCGTGATCAAATGCAATGAGATAGCGAAATCACCATCGACTGCGGCGACGGTGTGGGCTTCCTGGTAAACCTAATCGTTCAATTCGAAGATAACCGCGTTGGTCAAAATTCATAAGCAGCCGTGTTTTTGATCGTTCGATGGTGGAAAATCTCTAACGGTTTTTTTCCTCTTATCCATGGTGGTGACCTGATTTCTCACTTTTGACTGTTTATTCCAATACTACCAATCGTATTTTGACCAGCATGAATTAGACACGGAATCACTGAACAGACTTTTAAATCTCAACAATCACGAATC